CCTGCCCCCCAAGCCCGGCCGTGTAGGGAGGGGGGGGGAGAAGAGAAGCGAAGAGTTAAAGCCCCCGGCCGGCCGCGAATGGGGGCCAGCCCCCTTACCTGCCCTCCCGGCCGCGAATATGGGGGTTAAAGCCGCCCTCCCCGCCGCGAATGGGGGAGTTAAGCCCCGGCCCCCGGCCGCGCCCCCCAGGTCCCCCCCCGCCGCTTGGGGGCCCGGGGCCCAGCCCCTGGGCCGGCCCGACTCACCGGCCTGTGCGCGGCGCGCCGCGGAGGGTCCATGGGCGGCGGGGCCGGGCGCGCTGGGCCGGGGCCGCCGCTTTATACCTGGGCCGGGCCCGGCAGGTGGCAACGCGGAAGCGGGGCGGGGAGGAGCCGCGGCCATTTCCTCATCCGCCGCGCCCGGCCTCGCAGGGCCCGCCCCGCGCCCGTCCGCCCGCCCTCCTTCCCCCCGGGCCGGGAGCCGCCGGGTGCGGGGCAGGCCCCAGGGCGAGGAGCCCCCGCTCCTCACTCGGGGCCGGGGTGCAGGAGCCCCCCTTCCCCCACACTTTGGGGGACACCTTGGGGCGGGGTGCAGGAGCCCCCCCTTCTCCCACACTTTGGGGGACACCTTGGGGTGGGGTGCAGGAGCCCCCTTCCCCCAGACACATTGAAATGGGGTGGGGGTGCAGGGACCTGCTTACCCCCTACACTGGGGCAGGCTAAGGGGCTCCTCTCCACTCCTCCCCTTGTGTTTTAGGGCTGAGCTGTGACCGGCAGCCAGGTGCTGGGTGGCCCCAAAGTGCCCCTCCATGGGCTGCGAGGGGCAGAGGTGCTGGAACTAGGGGGGCTCCTGCACCCCCCGGTGTGAAGTGGCTTCCAGCATACACAGGGTTCACAGTTTGGGTCAATGGCACTCAGCCCCCCACTATACAAATTGTCCCAGCCCCCCTGGCGAGGGGGGAACCCTGCTAACCCCACAGCCTTGGCCCAGTCACTCACTGGCTGGCCCCGTTCTCCCCAGAATGGGTCATGGCTCCTTGTACTGACAGCTGCTGTGATTTGATTTATTTCTCTCCCCTATTTGGGGTGTATCTTAAAACCCCTGCCCCAGGGAGATGTGCACCTGAGAGCCCCATTTACATGCGCAAGGGATGTTTCTAGCTCTCTCGATCGCAGAGAAGAGCATGGAAATGTGACCCATGTGCACCTCAAAGGCTCTGACACCAGCAGGCCAAGTAATAGGATAACCCCCCAGCATTAGTACTTTTGAAAGTCTCAGGAGTTTAGGTGAGTCTCATCATTTTTGAATACTTGGAGTTGGTAACACAGAAAATCTCAGGAACTAAAGTGAGTGAAGCTGTGGGGCTCCAGGCCTTGCGAAGACAGCCGACTACATCAGGTGCCTCACTTTAGGTTGCCACATTTGCGGGAGAGGGGCAGGGAGCAGCATTTTCAAATCAGACAGCTGGATCTTCCTGGTGCTATGTGATCTTCCACAGGTATTTTTCCAGCAACCTGTGCAGATTGAAATCCTAAAGCTACATGGACCCATCTGTTGCTTTGGCATGTTTTCTTCTGCGGCTCCTACATTAGACTTCCTTTTGCTCCATCACAAATTCCTTGTTCTTCATCTATAGTTTAGTGGTCATTACTTCAGGGTATTTGAGTTTTTCAGCCCATTTTCTAGGTGGTGGTGTCTCCACATCTGAGATCGCTCAAATGCTTTACATTTCTCTGCTGCCTCTCCTTTCCAGCCCATTTTTCTACATTTTTGTGGGGTTGTTGTATTCTTCCTCTCAGACACTTGAGTCTCTTCAAAGTTTTCACGTTTACATAATATGGCACAGGTTGGTATGGAGGCCACTGACTACAATTTACCCTGCTGAGCTGGTGCTATTACTTCTATAGAGTATGATGCAACCAGCTAAGGAAAACTACAGTTATGACAGAAGCATTTTAGACCTGTCCAAGACCAAATGGTTCAGTTCCACAAGAAGTTCATTTAGAAATCACAGCAAATGTGAGAAAGGAGGCAATTCCATGTCCTATATCCATCCTTGATAGTTCATGAAATTCCATTTTAGTGATAATAAAAAGCCAACGTTTTGCAAAATAAGTGCACAATGTTCTTTAGATTCGTTTGTTGCATTTTAAAATTTGCATTAGTAATTAATTTATTTTTAGATTTTTGATGTGTGCTATACAAGTATGTGATTTTTGGAGGGTGGAAAGAAGGGAGTATGAACTATTGTTTAAGAAAGAGAGTCAGTATCATATTTGCTTGATATTTTCCCCTTTCATTGCCTTGGTCTCTTTCCAAAGGTACTTATTTGTAGAATAATCGCAGTTGATGAAGAAACCGGTCTTTTTCTTAAAGCACCTGGTTTTTATGCAAATCATTTTACAATAAGGAAGATTTGACTCAACAACAAGTGTACTCATTAGCCAGAGTAACTCTTCTTCCTGGTGTCCTTTAAGGACAGCCTTTGCTCTAGATCAGGAGTTGGCAACCTTTCAGAAGTGGTGTGCCGAGTCTTCATTTATTCATTCTAATTTAAGGTTTTGCGTGCCAGTAATACATTTTAACGTTTTTAGAAGGTCTCTTTCTATAAGTCTATAATATATAACAAAACTATTGTTGTATGTAAAGTAAATAAGGTTTTAAAAGTGTTTAAGAAGCTTCATTTAAAATTAAATTAAAATGCAGAGCCAGGTGGCCAGGACCCGGGCAGTGTGAGTGCCACTGAAAATCAGCTTGATTGCCATAGGTTGCCTACCCCTGCTCTAGATTTTGTTGTCCGGATGCTGTTACTGTTTAACTGGATGCTATTGTTAGGTGGGGCTAGAAACAGCAAAAGCCACTGCTGACAATTTAGAAGGGAAATTCGGTAGGGTTGTGTAGCCAATGATTTTAGTACCTGCGGTGGTATAAAACCACATTACAAAATTCCCTTTAAATAAAATAAAAGGTCACAGCTGAGAAAACCCTTTTGTCTGGTAATTCTCAGACATGTGGCCAGTTGGTAACATTCTGAGTTTAATAATTTAGAGATAAATTTTAAGAACTGCTGCAGGCCTGGCCATTTCCCCTCCCTGGTGCAAGTTGCAAATTAGAGCACGTATTATTACTGTTTATCAAAGTACCCAAAAGTTTGCTAGGCACCTCCCAAAATAAAGAGGACATGCCTTTTTTTCTGGCCTTCTTTATGTATAATAAAAATGAAAAAACATTAAAGTCAATTTTTCCCCTCTGTGTAGGTAAACGTTAGCGCTTATTGCATAGAACTGGGCCGTGCAGCAGCTGGTTCAGACTGTACCCTAAGGAAACTGGCCAAACAGCACCCCCTGCTGGCAAGCAGGGGGAAGAACAGGCTGAGAGTGCTGTGCATGGTTTGCTTTTCTGTTTTTGTTTTTTTCAACTATATGGATTTCACAAACTTCCCAGAGTTAGATGATAAATAAACAGAGGGAGAGAGAAATTAAAAGAGGGCAAAGCTGTTTCTTTTGTGAGATTTGATACAAGACAGGGTAGATAAAAATCAATGATTTTTTTTAAAAAAATCAAAAAAATTGGATTTTTTTTATATTCTTTTTGAGGAAAAAACCTATCTAAAGATAATTTTAATTAAGATACATTATAGCTCAAAGATATCTCATCATGGAATAGGGATTATAAATTCTAGTTCTATAGTATGAGAAAATATATTCATGTAATCTTTAAGAAAAGTTTTGTAAATGAGTTCCAATAGTTCATGGATTAGGGACCCAACCTTATGGGGATCAAGGGGCTTTTGAATAGATTATTTAGGTTAATCTTTCTATCTACCCAATGTGACTCACTGCTCAGTCTAGAAGATACCATCAGAGATGCTTAGTTTTGCAGTTCTCAAACTGTGGCTTTGTGTCTCCAGATGTAACATGCTGGTGTAACGATGCTGGCTTTGGTGGGACACTTCTGAGAGTGCCAATTCAGGACAAATTGCTTAGAGCAGGGCAGTTACAGCCCAAGGCTGGAGTTCCTTTACTATTAAGGCACCAAACCAGCCAAACAGAGAGGACTTTGGTCTCACCCTACTGGTTAACCATAAGTCACACAAGCAATTCCCTTAGACACTCCAGTTTCCCAGTATCACCACCAGTGCCACTCGTTATGGGGATGAATGGTTACCCCAGTAAAATACCCCAGTAAAAGAAAAAAATGGTTCTCCCGATCCGAAAGGACCCAGGTCAATATACAAATCAGATCTTACCCACAAATCATGCTGTTGCCAATCCTTTAGTATCTAAAATCTAAAGGTTTATTCATAAAAGGAAAAAGATAGAGATGAGAGCTAGAATTGGTTAAATGGAATCAATTACATCCAGTAATGGCAAAGTTCTTGGTTCAGGCTTGTATCAGTGATGGAATAAACTGCAGGTTCAAATCGAGTCTCTGGAGTACATCCACAGCTGGGATGGGTCATTCAGTCCTTTGTTTAGAACTTCAGTTTGAAGCAAAGTCCCTCCAGAGGTATGAAGCAGGATTGAAGACAA